AAAAAGTTTTGTTTTAACAAATGTGAAAGCTTTTTTAATATGTTAAACGTGTTAAATGTTTTAACAAATGTTTATAACATATGTTGAAGGTAGTAATATATTTCGTACCCGTAATAAAATAAAACATGGTATAACAAATGTTAAATGTTATATATATATATAAAATATAATATAATTTTGTTTTTTTAAAAATAAAATGTCTGATATTAAATGATATATAGTAGTTTATTTTTTATTTTATTCAATCAACTCTGTTTTCAAAATTGTTTGGAAAACAATTGTAATTATTGTAATTTCTTACAAAATTTTGTATTTAATCTAATTTTATTGTTTATGTCCGGTTTTGTCCGGTTCGATTTTGTTTCCAAAAATGAAATGTTCGGTAATTTACACTTTTGAATCTGGCAACCCTACCGATGCCTTGTTGTGGTTATGTCTGTTTACTTGCTACTTGGGATGTATTCCAATGCTTACTATCACCGCCGTTCACCTCGTGCCGCACGTTGGGCGCCAAAATGTTAATGATAACATGAACTTAAGGGTTCGAAAAGATTTATTTGCACACGAAGCATCACAGCGGCGAAGCCGTTACAGTGTCTGTAGAAAAACATGTCCGGCGTGAAGAAGAAAAAGAAAAAAAACTAGTATTACTACGCGTGTATTACGCCGAAACGCTGCAAGCGCCAGTTACCTACGGGATTACAGATTTGCGCGGTCTAAACAAATTCTTTACTTTCCTTAACAGCATCACTGATATAATAACCCGTATTATTTGTCTCAACAATGCTTAAAATATAGTTTTTAAACGATTTTAAACAAATTTGCAACCTTCGTGCTCGAAAGTCCTAAGGTAGTAATTATTTTTAATTTTTCATGATTTTTTTACTTATTATATATTTTGATCGGCCATTTTGGATCCGCCATTTTGAAACTATCAATTATAAAATCAAGTTCGAAATTATCACATTCAGAAAACCTCAAAAAATCAATTTATTTTGCGACTTTTACAATATTTTACATTTTACATCGGCCATTTTGAATCCGCCATTTTGAATTTCTAAAATCTGACATCAAATTCGTATTCAGCACCCTCGAAAACTCGTAAGAAACCATTTTCATAATTTTTCATCGATTTATTTTCGAGATATTTAATTTGACAACTAATTTTACAATTAATTATTGTTATTAAACAAATGTACAATTAGCACACTTTTTTAAGAGAACACATTTTTAATTAACACTATTTGGAAGCGAATGCAAAAAGTTTCATCCAAAAATATGGATCGCGGAATTATTCCGAAGTAAAGGCCTTATTTTGTCTAATTTGACTCCCCTATCTATATTTATTTGCATCTTTTTCTTTATCTATCCCTATTCTTATATTTCTCATATTTTATTATGTATGATCAATATTAATGTGTTCTATTAGAATAAAATCGATACTAGTTTTTATTTCTATACAGTATTAGAATGTAGTATAAATCATGTGTGTTTAATTACTTATTGTAAATCTTTTTATTTCTTTATTCCTAAAAATACCTTCTATAAATCTTAATCGCCATTTGTTTAGAGTGCGTAAAAAATGACATTACTTTATATTAAATATTTCCATCAGCGATTACGGCGATAGCAGCGACAAATCCGAATTTCAGCACACATTTAAGAAGCTATTTGATAAAGCCGGTGATCCAACAGGTATTATTTATCATAAACTATTTTAACTGACAAAATAAAAGGATTTTTAAGTACGCCTTTTTTAGCATTATTTGTTAAGTATGTTTTGCTTCTCGCAGATCGAAAAAGGTGAATCATTAAGATTCTTGGCGGAGATTAGACGAATTACAGTAGTATCTATTGATATTATTCCCATTGAATGTTCAGATAACGAATTAATTCTTTTGATCGACAAATGCTTTCTACTTTTGCATAGGTACTGTCACAATACTATGATTAACAGATATTATTTTCTATATAAGAAGATTATTATTTTATAAATATTATAATAAAAATGCAGAATTTCTCTTCAAATTTTAATTTCAAAAGTATTTTGTTATTAATTTTATATATATAATTAATATACTGCTTTTCAGCAATCACTTTGTTACATTTATAGACAGAATAAGAAAATAAGTTTGTTTCAATATTTATTATAGTATAGTTACGCCATACGGGGGTTGTATTAACACAATGGATCTGTACGAGAAGCATATTTACTTTTGTATTGTTTTTGGTATACGTGGATACAACAACGAGAACCAATTTAAAAATGTTGAAACTTGTAAAAATGGGATTACTTGTGCGACACACATATTGCAAACAGTGAAAACCATTGTAGGGGTTCAAAGCGTTTTTGTCGGCGTGTCAACAGGTAACAACGTACTTTTGCTTGAAGATATATTAGTCGTTTCAGTGCATAATATTGGCCCAATACATTCCCAATGTATGCCCGGTGTGTAATTAATTGTGCTATTCGGTTTAACTTTCATTTCTTAAAAGGTATTTTTCTGAAAAAAATTGGGACTAAAATAGAAAAGCACTACAATAACGTTAATCGTTTTAACATATCGTTTACATCATACTAAATTATGATTCCGTTATAATAAATTTATCGTACAATTCCAGCATTACGATACAAATATATATACCATATTTGTATTATTAATTTAATTTCAGGAATAGCTTATTGTGGCGTGATCGGGCACATCGCTAGAAGATATTATGCAATTATTGGACCGCCTGTCGATAAAGCTATAAGAATAATGGATATTTCCTATAATAAAGTAATTAACAGCTTGACTTAGATAAATTTTGGTTACAGTTTAATTTGTTCATTAAAAATAATCACATTATTTTATTAAATTACATTGCGCAATTAAATAACGCGCGTTTGTAAAACGATTTCTTAAAAATTAAAAAAAAAGATTTAATAATGTAGTTTTCTATCTATTCAATAACATTGTTGAAAATGTGTATATATAAATATATAATTATATTAATTTATAAAAATATATAAGTATATACATTTTTTTACCTGAATTATTTGCAATATCCCAAGTAGAATACAAAATCATAATAAGATTAGGATGACATTAAGTAGAAGTTATTTTCGATCAAAAAATCGTAATGATGTTCAATTTGTTTAGAACTCACTTAAACATAATTTTTATATCAAGAATTCATTACAAAAATTTTGTCAAAAGTGTATCGAAATGACATTATTTTTTATAAAATGAATTTGGCTTGATGTTATTTCAATGTTATTATGATTGTATTTTATCTGAGACCTGATTTGCAGGTTTCCTGTGATTATGACACCGTATTGCACAGTCATATTAGAAAAGATCAATTTCGTTCTCGGGGCATAAAAACGTTTCAACAATATCACATCTTCGAATATCTCCGCGATGCACCGTGAGCATTTGAACTTATTCCTTCGTTTAAATACGAGTAATAATAAAGTAAATAGAAGTGAAATTTTATATTTGTTTCTTCAAATATTGTGTAACATTTATGCTTGTGGCTGTAACTGAAAACAATGTGACAGAAGTAAATAAAGCATTGCTCAAATAATCGATTAAATTTTTATTGCGCTATAATTTATTAAATTATTTGATCAACATAAAAATTACAAATCTGTGCGGTGTATTTCTATTTTCATAATAGCAGTGCATTTCTATTTTATTTATTAAAAATTTCAGGGAGAACGATCAAATAATTAAAAATATAACATTATATTAAAACATATTAAACCACCATTTTTATCATTTCTATTTATTTTAATATCGTATACCTTATATGTTTAAAAGATAAAAAATAAATGGAATTAAATTATTAAATTATACATATTTAAAAATAGGATATAAATTTTATGCAGGTAATAAAATATATGAATCATATTTCCTATAATATCTTTATAGAAAACAGAAAGACGCAGCTTTGTCTTTGGAATACGGTTATCCTATTTTGGGTAGACTGCAAGAGTTGGAACGCTTTAATGATATCCTGGACGAAATTGGAGTTGCAGATCGGAAATATTCAGGATTGTTGATCGAGGTTTGATTCAAAGTTCCGAAAATAAAGTGAGCGTTTGTAAAATAAAATTGTCACAGACTATTGTCTAGTATGTTATAACTTTGATAATTAATTCGTTTAATATTTATAATTATGTAACAACGTTTTAATTAAAATTATTGAGTATAGGAATAAGTTTCCGCTCATTGTAGAGAGATGTCGTTAGTAGCACTGCTTGTGTGTTTGATAAAACGGCAATATATGTTTTTGAAAGGTTTTGAAAGTGTGTGTTCAAACTTTTAAACCTAATAGGGGTTGGCATTTGTTCGAAGCGTAAACAAGAGTAACTTTTTTTGCGTTGAAAGTGTCGGAATTTATTCCAAAAAAGCAACATTTGCAGGAAGTTTTACTCCATTATTTCATTTTAAAGAAAAGTGCTGCAGAAACGCATCGTTTGATCGTAGATATTTACGGTGAGCATACTCCATCGAATACTACTTGTAAAGAATGGTTTCGGCTATTCAACAATGGTGATTTCGACGTGAGTGACAAAGAACGCGAAGGTGCCCCGAAAAAATTTGAAGATGCAGAATTGTAAGCATTACGTAGAAGATCATGTCGATCGCTCGATGAGTTGTCAAAAGACTTAAATGTTGATGGATCCACTGTTGGAAACCGTCTACACGCAATGAGAATAATGCAAAAAGAAGGAAATTGGGTACCATACAAATTGAAAGAGAGAGACATGGAAAGACGTTTGGTCACTTGCGAGATGCTGCTTCAACGACAAGAAAGGAAGGGTTTTTTGTATCTTATCATGACTGGTGAATGGATGAAAAATGGATCTACTACGATAATCTTAAACACTCGAAAGCATGGGTGATGCCAGGTGAACCAGGTCCATCAATACCAAAACGAAATATCTATGCTTTGAAGATTATGTTGTGCATCTGATGGAATCAAAGGGGTGTTGTATATTATGAGCTGCTCAAACCGTCCAAAACTATCACTGGCGATCGTTAACAACTACAACTGATCCGTTTAAACCAAGCTTTGAAAGAAAAACAACCGGAATGGGACAATAGGCATAACAAATTGCTACATGACAACGCTAGGCCAAACGTTGCAAAACCGGTCAAGAAATGCTTGGAAGGATTGAAGTGAAATTCTGCCCCATCCGCCGTATTTATCGGACATTGCTCCTTCAGATTTCCATTTGTTCCGGTCCATATAATTGGTCCTTTCTGGAGAATAATTTAATTCTTATAAAGGTATAAAAAAATGGCTTGATAAAGGCTTGGATCGCTTCAAAAGAACCAGATTTTTTCCTTTGAGGAATCCATTTATTACCGAAAAGGTGGGAGAAAGTTGTCGCTTCCGACGGAGCATACTTTGAATAAACTCACTTTGTATTGTTTTGTTTAAATAAATACATCTTTTTCATTTAAAAAGGGCGGAAACTTATTCCCATACCCCCAATATTTACAAATATCAGTATATTATGCCTTATATAACTATAAAGATAAAAAATAAAAAATCAAAGATTTAATATGATTATTTTCTGTAGCATTTGCACGCTTTATAAAATCAATCTAATCTGTTATTTATCCAGGGAATCGAGAGATCAGGAAAATCTAGACTTTTAGATGCTTTCGTCACGAGCGTTTGTAACAAACAAATAAGACCAATCAAACTTTCTCTTCATGCGACATACGCGGAGAAGTCTTATTCAGTTATATATCATATTATTTTGCAGGTACAAAATATTATTTGTTTTATTTTACAGATTTTTTTATCAAAATCTTTATAAAAATTTTATAAAATGGCTGAACTAAAAGAAGAATTGAAAATTCTGTTTATATAAATTCTGTTCTTTAGATTTTTAATCTACAAAGCGTAAGGATAGAAAATTAAATTTAATATTTTTTGAAATATTTCTATTTCTTTGTGTGTGTTTTTATCTTACAACTCTTTTTTTAATATAAATATTATAATGCTAATATACATGATATACATGATATACATGGGTGATTTTTTTAACCTGAGACTTTCAAATATCTCGAAAAATAAGCACACTATGAAAAAATGTTAAGAATCAATATTTCATCATTCCGAGGGTGACGTACACTGACTTAAAATCAGTCCCCCCACCCCGCCCCCTGGGCAGTGAGGGGGGCAAGTTTGAAATCTTAAATGGGAACCCCTATTTTTTATTGCATATTCGGAATCTTTGGCTAAAAGCACATACGATTTGTCTGAAACATTTTTCTCGATTCATGATAGATGGCGCTGTAATCGACGAAATTCAATTTCTTCGATTTCTCTTACTGAGAACCCATGCTTACGATTCTGCAATGCATTAACAATAAAAATACCACGTTTTCATTGTTAATACTCGAAATTAGTCTTGAAACTTCTCATTATTTTTAATTATTCATTAATTACTTCTCAAGAAACTACTTTTAGCGTAACCCAGGAACAACGACGTGGACGTAGCAGTTTTCTGTTCCCTTCGAGATGCTTGATTAACGTGAGTCCCCTCGCCTCTCACGATTCGGGATGCTTGATTAACGTGAGTCCTCTCGCCTCTCACGATTCGGAGTGCTTGATTAACATGAGTCCCCTCACCTCTCACGATTTGGGGTGCTTGATTAACGTAAAGTGAGTTTTGTCTTAAAGTTATTTTTTTTTTCATTTGTACTGTATTTAAGAAAAGAAAAAAGTAAACACTCTCGAAATGTTTCGTTGGCCTCCTCTGACCTCTAAAATACGCCAGAGCTCAATAATACCCAGGAAACGCTGTTAATGTAAACGTTTTACTTAATAATTACTTCTCAAGAACGGACATTCGTTTTGGCATATGCCAAATGAAATATGCCATTGAAAAATATTTTTCAAATAATAATTAGAAAAGAGGCGCGAAGCTCTATTGCTCTTATTTTTAACTTCAGAAACGATATTTTTGAAACAAAATACCAATTAAGGCAATAAAAAAATAAATATCCGTAATGAATCAGTTCAGTGTTGCGGCTGTACGTGCCACGAGGAATGAATTCTACAGCGAATAACCCGAACGGAGGTTTGTATTTATTTTTTCTTTTCAATTTCAAAAGGTAAGATAAATATTTATCTGCAATAAATAGATATCTGCAATAAATCAGCCTAATTTAAAAAATTTAAAAAAGGGAACAGAAAACTGCTACGTCCACGTCGTTGTTCCTGGGTTACGCTAAAAGTAGTTTCTTGAGAAGTAATTAATGAGTAATTAAAAATAATGAGAAGTTTCAAGACTAATTTCGAGTATTAACAATGAAAACGTGGTATTTTTATTGTTAATGTATTGCAGAATCGTAAGCATGGGTTCTCAGTAAGAGAAATCGAAGAAATTGAATTTCGTCGATTACAGCGCCATCTATCATGAATCGAGAAAAATGTTTCAGACAAATCGTATGTGCTTTTAGCCAAAGATTCCGAATATGCAATAAAAAATAGGGGTTCCCATTTAAGATTTCAAACTTGCCCCCCTCACCGCCCAGGGGGCGGGGTGGGGGGCTGATTTTAACGTCAGTGTATGTCACCCTCGGAATGATGAAATATTGATTCTTAACATTTTTTCTTAGTGTGCTTATTTTTCGAGATATTTGAAAGTCTCAGGTTAAAAAAATCACCCTGTATAGAGAATAAGGAAAATTAAATATTTTTTAATCAATTTTTGATTTTTAAAAATGCAAATTTAATTTTATGAAATTAATATCTATTAATAGTATATCTATCAGTTTCCTCTCTCTCTCTCTCTTTAGTAAACTTAGTTTTTGCAACAGAGACAAATTGCTTCAGATAACTGAAATTCCTTGCAGATACTTGAAGCTGAAGATTGCGAGACTGTCGAGGAACGCGAAAAGGAGTTACTTAATAAATTGGGCGACGTTCTCGTCTTGGAAGATTTTTGCTATCTGAATATTTTGATGAGAGTTCGTTTTCCTCTTTCCGATTCTTATTGCTCGGACACCGATTTGCGACGTCAAACGAAGACTATCGATATCTTTAAAACAATATTAAAGCAGGTAATATCATTATTTTATCTTGTAAATAAAGGATTCGTTACTATTTCTAAAATCGCTTTTATATAAATTAATGTAATCATTCATTACAGTTGAAGATTAAAATCTGCATTTTGCTTGATGACATTCAATACCTTGATCATAGATCCTGGCAATTTTTGTCGTCGGTTCTTGATAACTGTAATATCGTCATAGCGATGACGATACTGAAATATCACTCTTGGGAAGACTTGTCCCATGTGGAAGCGGAGATTTACAAAGATAAAAGGCTAACGAATTATAATTTGTTCGGTCTGAATGTAGATCTGCTCCCGGTATTTGCGTGCCAATTTCTGAATGTCCTTGCAATACCAAAACAATTAAGCAGGTATTGCCGCCGTTTGTTTCCACTCGTTTAGTTCAATATTACAAATTTGTTAAACAGCGATAGGATTTCTATTAGGATTTTGCGAAGACGCCAAGATGGTCATCTCGGATGGTGCGAGGCGTTGCTGACGTCAATCCTTCAAAGTAATGGTTTGGATTTCGTTAAGATATCACCCAGCGAAGCGTTACAACGGAATCTTGTTTTTCCAAGTGGCATTCTGGTGACAAAGCTACCAATCGATCTAACACCAGAAGAATTGGCGCCACCTTTATCCTGGTCTCAAATGAGTCTTTTAGATGTCTGTGTCACGAACGAGAATTTCTTTAAGATTACCAGCAAAAAACGCAACATAACAGGCAAATTTAACATTTTATTAATACTTTCGTATCACTTCTTCTGGCATCATAAATCTTTTTTATTTTGCTTGATCTTTCACGACACGACGAATCATGACGTATCGAGTACAATACAAAATAATATTAGATTCATGAAGATATTTTAAAATATACGGAACATCTTTGCAATTAAATGAAATTGCGCCGATCATTCTACGTTAATTTGTTTATTAGAAATTCTCTCTAGAATTAAGAAGCGAGGTCTACGATAGAATGAATCCTTATGAGCAAGATTTCATTAAGTGCGCTGCCACGCTGGGCAAAGTGTTTAAACGAAGCATGATAGAAAACGTAATGTTGAATACGATCCCACTGCACACCATTAAAAGTGAGTATCATTAATTGCAGCTCTCGGACATCTTATTATAACTGAATTGCATGCTAGCTTAGATGAATCTCACGTAACTCCACAGCCATTTCCGAAATGATTCGAATACGGATATTAGAATGTGCTTCTCTGCAGCGACGGGATTTCTACGCTCAGGATCTTATCTTTTGTGTAGATAAAAAGCGGCAAACGTTCTCCGATATGCACCACTCATTAGCCTGCAATTGCCATCATTCACGTTAGTTCCATTTGAAAAGCATTTAAAATATTTAATAATATATTAAGCAGCATGGTAGCATCGCAACGCCAAGTATAATGTAAAGAAGGCGATGGGTCATATAATATTTAATATTAGACTGATGACGAAATTCTTATTAATAAAAATTTGAATCTGCAAAAAATAAACAATAAAAGAAATTGCAAAGAAATTTGCACAGTTCCGTAAATTCGTGATTTATAATAAAACAAATTAATATTCTGTCTTTCTAGGAGCTGTCATTAATCGTCATCTCCTACCTCTTTATGGTCATTGTAAAATGCTAGAATTCAAAGTTAATGCATTTCACAAGATGATGTATAACATACAAACGGATAAAGAAAAGCAAGAATATCATACAAGAGCAGCTAGGATATGTGAGTTGGACGCTAAAAAATGTCATTCTTGCGGTAGCGGTCGTTTTCTGAGAATTCTTAGTGAAGATGTACTCAAAGAATTAAAGGTTAGAATTAAATGATAATTAATTGATTATATTTTGAGCATGTGCTCAGAAAATTGGTTTTAAAATTTATAGTAAAGTTTATAAATAAATTGAAAATCAAAGCATTTAATTACTTCTTAAAAATAAATTTTAATATTAAATTTCCTAATTTGTTGTTAATTTTTTCTATAATAACTTTGTTGAAAAAATTAATTCATTTGATATTTTTAGCAGGAAGACATATCTTTGAAACCCAAAGTTTCGTTGGTCCGTCGTCGAACACTAATTGTCGAAGATAAATGGACGATTTCAAAACCGACAATACTTTCAACACGAACAATTGCTGCGGAGAAGAGACGAGATTCTGTTGACGTTTGTAGAGTATCTATTATGCCATCAGATATTGATGACAAAGAAGATGAAGGTAATAATTAATGAATATACTTACTTTGAAATTCATTAACTTTAAACGTCAACATATTTTTACAGTAATTCTGAAAAACGGAAACAGAATAAACATATTTGGAAAGCGATCTACGAGTATTTTTCCAGAAATGACAACAGATTCTTCTCATCGAAGCTTCTTTAAAAAGCAATCTGCCAGTATTTTTCCAGAAATGATGACAGATCCTTCTCATCCAAGCTTTTTGGAGAAGTTTAGCCATATCGATTATCGTAATTGTCAATGCGATAATATTATAAGCCATCTTTTCTGGAAGTTGCATCAGCATATTGAAAAAAGTGGTAAACTAATAATATTTTAAAAACAAAATTTAAAAAAATAATTTAAAAAAATGTGTCAATAAAAATAATTAAACTATTTTAAGCACAATTTTAAAATACTAATGATCACACTAATTATTAGATTCCTTATTAAATTCTATAGGAGAAATCAACAAAGTATTCGAGTTTTTTATACAGTACAGTGCCGGAATGATCCAAATTGCGCAACCTCTTTATGCAATTAAGTTGCTCTCGATTGCTGCTGAAAGAAGTAAGGCCGTCAAAGTGGACGAGTGGGTTGATGAGAACACAGAGAACAGTATCACGAATAAAGGAATCATTTTAGCCTTAATGGGTCCGTGAAACTTTACGAAATATTCTGCAATAAAATAAAATATCCCTATTCATTAGTCATCGTTCCGCGGAAAAACTTCTTCTAAAGAGAATGTATCGTTATTTGTCATATATATTTATTATATTTCAGGTGATGCTCACAGTGCATTAGGAAATAATGATCAAGCTAAAAAATACTACCTCTTGGCGGTGAAACTGCGAGGTACCCCGCCTAAGGAGAAAGGCATCTGTTACAACATAATGTTTTGTAAACTACATGATCCTCCTCATAACTATACAGTTGATGAAGAATCAAGTCAACTCGTTGTAAAGAAATTGGAATTGGCGTCGTACTTGCGACGTCTTTGCGTCGGATTCATAGTATGTAGCTAATATAGCTTTTTATTTTTATGCAAAGGATTTAGCCAAGTAAGATGAAACTGAAAAGAAAACGATTAAAAAAAGAAGATACACGCTATATATAATTTTTAGGGATTTTTTTTATTGTTCTAATGATTTTTATTATAAAAAGTATAGCGAGAATAATTTTTGCGTAATTTTTTACAGATAGAAAACAAATTAAAAACGGCGCAGTCGTTTGCCTTGAGAAGTTTCAAGCTCGCGTTTCTAAACGTTAACAGTTTTCTAGAGAAAGGCGAAATATATCTTGCAACAGTACGAGTTTTGCATTGCACAAGAAACATTAAGTTAATACGACATATCGAGAGACTAATGCTAATCACAATAAAGAGAAAAGTTATCTGGAATGATGTCGAGGAAATAGCGATGGTGGCAAATATTTATCTAACGATGTACCAAATTAGGTATAACGTCTTAAATTTGATACATGAATTAATTTGTGTGCCTTGAATTAAATATTTCGCATATATGAAAACAGAGTATTAAGAGGTAAATTGGAAGAAGCCATACATATAGGTATAAAGGTCTTGAAAATATCTGAAACATTGCATCTTAAGAAACTGACGCTGATTATTATACCCTCAATAATTCAAATAATGGTATTGCTTGAAATTAATTTACTCTCATAAATCTCTTGTATATCTATGTCATTCTATGTAAATTTCCTAAACAACGCAAAGATCCAAAAATAAAAAGAAATTAATCTTCCGCTTGTGTGTTTTAATATTTTTATGTAGACATCTTTTGGATCTTTTCACGTTATTTAAGATGTATATCGTTCATTATACAATATTTTTTGCTTAATAATTTGATTAGCTATGGACCAGATGTGTCAATGAAGCTGTCGACTTGATGCGGGAATTATATTTTTTGGCAGACGAGGACATAGATTTGTCAGCCAAGACATGGTATTATGCTCTTTCTTTAGATCTCATGTTGGACGCAGGAATAGTATTGGAATCATACGAGACATCTTATAACTATTATGTGAAATTTATTGGTAATAACTGTAATGCAGTATGTATAGATGCATTAAAATTAATAAATAATTACCTATTTATAATTTTTTACAGAGGATGTCCTGCAATCATCATACAATGTTCTAATATCATATTTTAAAAATTATTTATACGCGTCAAAAGCTTGATACAAAAATGTTATAATTTTCAAGTTACGAATGATCAAATTAGTATAATACCGCGCACATTCACTTTTTTATATTTGTGTTTACATTTATGTATCAATATGTCATATAATACTGTTATAACAACTTTTATTTTAAGATTTCCAATTCTCTAATTAATATTTTACATTAAGAATTCTGATTTTAATTAACTTAATTATTAAATTGCATTGTGATTGTGGAACAGCCCGTAAGTATTATATAAACTATCTTTAACACTTTGACTGCTAAACTGATTTCGGCATTGAGCTTAATCAAATCTAGTAATCATTTTAATATTTTACTGTTTTTTTATATTTTAATATAATTTATATTATTTCTTTGAAATGTCCATTCTTAGTAAAATTATTCTTAATCTGGAAAACGAAAACGTCACTCACAAATGAATGACGGAATCCTTGTGGAAGTATTACAAATTTTGCATGAACTAAATCTAAATGAAATGGCAATTAAAATGTTAAAGTATTGTGTTATTTTAACTCAAAAGAGCGACTGTACAGCTTACAGATCCAAATTTTGCGTATGGCGTGATCCACAAAGCCTGTGTCGCTTGTTGACAGGTCTATGGATGTATCAGCTTAGAATGTAAGTATTTATTTTTTGTGCTCGCATTTACCAACCATGAATCGAAAGCTACTTGAAAACGGTAAATTAAAAATTTTTTCTTACTAAAGGAGTAAACTGTTACAATTCTATTGTAATAATAATTCATTAATCATTTTCAAAATCTTTTGACCTTGTGTTTTAAAGTGATTGAATAGATATTGTTCGAAGTGTTCTGCTAAAAAAATACATGGTGATATTTACAATAGGAGTCAAACGATTTCTAACGCATTTGCATGCACTGCGGAAAAATATGTGAAAGACATCACTTGGGGTGATTTTTCTCAAATTCTTACTTGCAGCAAGGTATCTAAACTTTCGAACGTTCACATTTCATGTTTCTTCTTATATACAAATTCTATAACTCTTTTTCTTGGAATAAAATCTATTTGGAAACAAATCTATCATAAAGAATCTATTGTCTTTTGGTCTCGAGATTATTTATCAGATATAATAATAAACAACGAATAGATAAAATAATTGTAAATAAAAGACGATACAATTAAATATGAAAAATAAGTTATATTTATTACTGCAAATAATATACTCTTCTTATTTAGACAACATAAAAAAATGATTTTGTTTCAATGCAGTGCTTTAATGCATTTTTTTAGGGTCTCGAGTGTTATTTGCTGTTATTGATGCGCTACATTAATACGAAGTACTCTAACGAGCTACAAAATCTTGTTCAAGATATTTCCAAAATTAGCAAATGCCTCAAAAGCATTTCTAAGTACACGAGAGTTATAAAATCACGTTTATATTTGTTGATGGCATATTTGAATGTTCTTCGGGGCCGCAAATCGAGCACACGGATTTATTTGTACAAAGCACAGAAATTCGCGATTCTACAAGAAAACCAATTGATGATGGCATGGATCATACAAAATAGAAGGGTAATAAATTTAATTAAAAATAATTAGCTTTTATTAGTTGACAAATAAAATAAATTAAATTTTTACTTTTCAATTAATTTACCTTTAATGGCAATATTGGTGGATAATGATGATGGATAAATAAGTGTTCTATGTAGTCTGGCAAATTTTTTGTTGCAGACGTGGAGGGAGAAAATTTATAATAATATGGCGCGATACTGGTTGGAATACATTAACTCATCAGATATCGTGCCTTGGCAATATATTCGTAACTTTACCATCGATACCTGGTCCACTATCCTTTATCCTTTACCGGTGCCTGATGCACACTTGTAACGAGCAATGAAAAGCACATTCTTTCATCTAGCATATTATTCTCGTATTTATCGTAATCCATGATTATCTTCCTAGATACTGGTTAAAAACGGAAAGAAAATGTTCTAGCGAAATATTTATTTATTAAAGGCATATTACATTTTTATGTTCTAGAAGATAAACACGACGATCCCCTCGTGCGCACGATCTTCGTGTCGAAGAAATTTTTTCGGTTCTTTTCTATTTTCCACAAAGTGACCTCCGCGCATGGTGAATCTCGATCTCGTCGCGAGTTTCGCTTAAATACGTTTCCGGCGACCGACGTTTACACTTACATCTTGACGATTAATTATTACGTATTGCGATTTAATTAATTGCTCTATTTGGCCGAATTTGGCCGAGTACGCCAAGGATATTTGCGAATTCGAGAAGAAAGGATGTAGAAAATGAGAGAGAAAATAGAACAAAGAAAAGTAGGAAAAGATAGAAATTGTGAAAGAGAAAAATGAGGAAAAAATATGTAAAAGCGTAACGAAAAATATATTCAAAAGATAATCCATTGCTCTACTTTCCGCTGGCTTTTAAAGAGGTAGAGAAAAAAAGAATATAGATTACAAAAGGATACAAAAGACACTTTAAGTTTCAGGTATTCTCCGCGCAATTTTACACGATTTCTCTTTTGTCGATATATCATTAATTTAATTTAATTTATTCTCAACATTCCATCAGTCTCTGATTCAATTGCTTCACTTTCAATATCAATCTACCGCTCGACTCGCAATCGCTTATAGAAAAAAATTTAACCAATTTAATCTATGTGTACACTTATGAGCTAAATATTTTTTTTCTTTCACAAAATGAACTATAAATTGCTACTGATGAACTTCCATTCAGTTATAAATCTGTTCATTAATAGATGTAACAATATCTCGATTTGTTTAAAGGTCCACTACGGTTGCGAGCGCGATTCTGATTTGATCCAGCGTGAAACGGGAACTTTGTGAGATCCTATTCATCGTCAACATAAAACTTGCATCGGCGTACTCGGCCCGAATGTGTCCGTCGGGACACGCGCGTGTAATACTTGAAGTTACCTATCCGAACAGAAGAGTCTCTCCCCTCGCGCGCTACCACAATGCTTCCCAAACAATGCGAAAGTCCAAAAGATGTTTACATCTAAATATTGATTTACAAGGCTGTCTAAAACGCGGCGTGACCGAAAGATTCGGATGCTTCTCGGATGTCTAAGAGATTGAAAATTTCTCTCAGATATCCAAGAAACTCCCACGTCTGAAAAATTAAGATCTCGTTTAAGCATGTCTTTTAGATATTCGCGTTGTCCAGGTCCGTTGCTCGTTCGATGGGACTCTCCCCGATCGCAACGAAGTTTGAATCTTCCCTTCGCGTAACTCATTCGTGGGCGTCGACTTCGTTGTCGATGCGACTGCTACGTATACCGGTCTTGCCTGTCCAAGGATAAATGTCCGGGCATGCTTGGCAGGTCTTCATGTATCTTACTCCACTCTTATGCCAAAGATTGCAGACCTTCGCGTTATTGCATTTCTTGGGTCGGTCCTGCATCATATTCGCCGTAACGTAATAGATTCCGCGCAAAATTACAAGTAAATTAAAACTAACTCAAGAATCGTTGTTGTTATTATTATATTAGAAAAGGATTTAAAAAATATTATTAGTTGTAAGATCAATAATATTTATGACAATTTTAAAGTTAAATAATTTTTAATTACTTTTCAATATTAATTTAGTACGTCTTAATTATAGTCATCGAAATGTAACAAAATTCCAATTTAAGAAGTAATAAAAAATAATGTTTCAAATTTTTCGAACAAATTGTTTGTAAAATATCAAGATGTTTAATAAAATGAGAGTTAAAAAGTTGATTGCAAAAAATCTTACCGGATAATGGCAACCAAAGGGTTCGAACGTGTGTAGAAGAGCCAGAGGCGTTGGATTCCTGATCCATTGTATAGCCTGCCAATTAGTAATTACCCATACGTCATCCATCGCGACGATGGTGTCGAGAAACGATATGAAGCCTTCTTTATGATGTGGCTGAGTAAACCATGCGGCGTGATAGAACAGACCGAAAGGCGCCCTGCGGATAAACGCATCAAGTTATGAGAATTAGTACAAAAATAATTTGCAAAGTAAGAAAATTTTTAAATTTTTATTTAACTTTCAATTATAATATAAAAGGAATTTTTTTTATTCAAATAATTATTTTCCGCAATTTAAGAGCTTCATTGAATTTTATGAAAAGAAATTAGAAATTTGTGTGATGTGAAAGAAACAATCTATTAAGAATACGGACATTGAACAGAGAAATTTATTTCCTCTCACTTTTTTCAATTGTTTGTCTAATAATCGCGTATACGAATAGTGTGAATCACTTTACCAACCTATTAGTCGTGTAATGCCTCTCGAAGTTCTTAATGAGCATCTTATATACGCCGTCCGGAGTCGGTGGGTTACTACAAGCATCTCCCATGGAGCACCTACCTCCATTAAGATCTTGCCACATTACCATAGGAACTTCCCACAATCCTGGATAGGATCTCGTGGGACAGGGTGGTATCATGCAGTCGTGGAAGAGCTTGTAATCCAGCGTGTACGGCCAACTGGGCGGTCGGTTCTCATAGATAGGCATAGAGGAGTCGTACGTGAAGTTTGTGTCCCAGAGCATTTTGAACATATTGTTTCCTCCGACCTGCGTCACAAATAGCGTACAACAACGTTACACAGCCTCAACTTGCTCTCTTGAACGGCGAAGAAATCTTTAACGATCTTACGAAGAAGTTTTTGTCGAAAAGAGTCATTTTATGATCATTATCACGTATATTTTACATAATATTTTTTACGAGAATAAGAATCGATGAAATGTGTTTACAAGATAATTACCGATAAGAAGGGTGCTCTCATTCCTCTGACATCCTCCAGTTTGACGCCTCCGTATGCAGACAGAATTTCGCGCTGCCCAGCAACCTCTCGCGCCCACTTTCGCGCCGAAAACTGTTCGCCGAAACTGTGCCTATTGCAAGGATTTATCGTCGTGTCGATCATTTGCGGATTACGAAGAGTTAAACTCTCTCACGACGCACCGATCCATGGCTGACAACATGTCGGAAACGCTTTTCTTTCTTTTCATTTTTTTCATTTTGATTATATAAGCACGTCTTTCATTCGAACGTTTGGCTTTTGCAAAATGACGATATCGACAGCTGACGCATAAAAGATGAAGATGATTTTGCAAGAACCAAACGAGCGTGGTTGTTATGTCATTATGTTACGTGCATTATGTGTGTTTTATATTTAAGTATCTTTTATAAACTTGATGTAAAAACGAAAAAGGTATCGAAATAAATTCAAGAATTTCCGAACGTGTGTGTCGAGCGTCACATCAATCATCCAACATTCAAAGCGGAAGCGATTTGTTGACTGATTTAAAGCATGAATATGACTTCATTAGAGAAACAAGCTAGTGTTCACTTCACCGAATTATGTAAAAAAAGATGATAACTATATTTAATGTCTTTAAGGCGTATGTAATTAATTTGCATCTGTTCGCGTGATGTTAAATGACAATATGAATGATTGTCGAATAAGGATGATTACTCGAAGTCGAAACTTGATTTCACGAACAAGAATAATTAAAAAATCTCAATAATCAACTGTTCATTTTGTGCATATCTTTACGTATTTATTAAATATTATTGTGATATCACTAACATAAATTGTAATATATGTAATGGAAGAAACGATTGATATTTAATTGTGTAATTATCGCACAATCGATACGTTTAATGCTAATTTACATGTATTTTTTCTGACTCAAATGTGTTACATGAAAACATATAATTACGATAAGTAAATACCAACCGCAAAAGATTTAAAAAATCTCCCGTGAAGAAATATACATCGGGCAGTATCAACAATCACGAGATTATGTAATTTATGCGCGCATGGCGCTCGTTTAATTAAATGGAAATAAAAATCGTGTGCTACTTCGCCTGCCCAGCGGCGGACACTGTTCGCAGATCTTAATGATTCGATTACTTACGAGACCGTGTGGGAGGCAATCTCGTGGCCTGAAGCATAGAGATTTTGAACCTGGCTGTAGTCGGTCCATTCGTGGGACACGTAGAAGGTGGCCGAGATAGGACAGCCGTTGGGGTTCTTTCGTCCCTTCTCGAATAGATCGGAGTAAAGACCCTTGTTCAAGTCGTTCACGGAATCGTCGAATGTCAAGAGGACGATTTGCGGTATTTCCTCCGGTAGGTAGTCACCTGTTTGTTACAGGATCGCATTCAGGATTCAGGAAAGGAAGGGGGGGGGAGGAAGGCGGACACGAGAGAATCAGGACACGCGTCCGAGATCGTGTTGAAATATGTGTCATAGATGTTTTTTTTGCGGACGTGAATATTGATGTGATAAGTTTTTTGAGTGTTTTTTTTTAATGAGGTCGTGTGAAGATGTGTCGGTTAGAGTGGCGCGTGATGGGAATGAGGAGCATGGCGAGGCGTGAAATGAAAGAAAGAAAGAGAGAGAGAGAGAGCAAGAAAGAAAGAACAAGAAAAGGCGTTAGTTATGCGTCATTAGTATACACGACACAGGTGTGTCGTACGCGCCCGGTGAAACCGCGGTTTACAACGTGTTGCTATCGGACCTCGCGATCCCTCATTTGAGAGATCGTCGATCTCCTATTTGATGAAGGTACACTTGCGGTTTCACCAGTTGTACGCAGCAACATGCGTTTTCATCGTCCCCACGGAGGATCCTCTAATTGCACGATGCCACTTTCGAAGAAGCTTTCTTAAATAGTAGGCAGAAATTCGCGAACGTATTTCGCGAACGATTCACAGTTGAGAAGTGTTCGGAGATACAAAGATTCATCGAATTGAGCACGAAGGTTTCAAACAGATAAAAAAATCTCTCCTTTCTAACAGTAGTGTAAGTATTAAGAGCTCACTCCACAGAGCGCCAGATTTCAGAATTTAAAAATTCAAGGAAAACCAGGAGAGATTTCTCAAGATGTTTCCAATAATCAAGAAATTCGAA